CATAATAAATAGCACATTTTATCTCTGAAGCAGACGACTTCTCAAAAATTGTAGACCAGTGGATATTAGGGTATGTCTACACTTACCTCCGGGTCCGGCGGCAGGCAATCGATGTTCTGGGATCGATTTATGGCGTCTGGTCTAGACACGATAAATTGATCCCGGATCGATCCCGGAAGTGCTTGCCGTCGACGCCAGTACTCCAGCTCGGCAAGAGAAGTACGCGGCATCAACGGGGGAGCCTCCCTGCCGCGTCTGGACCCGCGGTAAGTTCGGACTAAGGTACTTCGAATTCAGCTACGTTATTAACGTAGCTGAATTTGCGTACCTTAGTCCGAAGTGGGGGGTTAGTGTGGACCAGGCCTTAGAGAGACAAGGTGGGTGAGGTAATATCTTTTACTGGATCAATTTCTGTTGGTAAGAGAGAGAAGCTTTTGAGCTACACAGAGCTCTTCTTCAGGTCTACAAAGTTTATACAAACAGCTCTGAGACAGAGAAGCATGCATTATTGTTTGATATCTAATACAAGAGGGGTTAAAGAAATAAGCTGAAGGCAATTCTGTCTAAATCCATCTCTGGCAGTGGAACTTTAGTAGGAATGGGGAATTGGAACATCCTCTGTTCCTAAAGCACAGATTAAGAAGGTGAACTGGAAGCAATAATATGCTTGGAGACCAGAATTCAGATGTATCAACCCTTTGAAATGCCAATTCTTACCTAAGAATTAAAATTAGAATAATACATTACATGCACATAGAATATGAGAAAATGAGTTATAGCATTTACAAAGGCCATTTAGCTTTTATCAGGAAGTGCAATACATTAATTCTGCAAATCCATACTCATGTGAGTAGTCCTTAACAAAAACAATACCATTAAAGTCAATAGGACTAGTCTGAGTAGAGATTGTGCAAATAATGTGTGGATCATGCCCTCTTAGAAAGCAGCAGGCAAAAAAAAAGCAAACAGGCAATTTTCCATCAAATGGTACAAATCACTCTTGAGGAAGTATAACCTCACATTGCAGTATTTAGCAGTGTAAATAAGGGAAGACAGGGTGGGGAGTATACATAGTTCTTGTTTTTGTTTTGGGATACTCTGTGCCTGCACACTTGCTGGAGCTGGGTGGCGTGACTGTTCTGGGCCAGAATTATCCAGAAAAAAGGCATCAGGCACTATGTATGCTCGTTAGCAGTTTGAAGTTACTTAGGTTGCTTCCATTGTGGGCAAGCAACCTGGAAGGATACCAATAGTCCCTCTCTGGACCAATGGGAATGTAAAGAGAGGGGAAGTAGTTTATAAATAGAAGCAGGAGCTTAGTGACTGGGGGACAAAAACCAGCAGGATCTACTGTAAGGATTGTGTTCCAGGGACTTTGCCAGTTTTGTTGGATTAGAATGTAGGCTCCCTCATTGGACTGGAGAAGAAGACAAATAGAATTGCTGCAGGCTGTGCAAAATGAAGACTGTCATAGCAAGGATTCAAGGGGAGTTTAAAGAAGACTGCTTCCCAACTTTAAGGAGCTGGAATGCCTGACAGAGGGTTTGGACATCATTCCGTGTAGTGAGAAAGGTAAATCCAGAAGCCCTAGGGGAGTGTACATATGTGCACACACAATTATATTTTGCATTTGAACTTGTGATAGTAACAAGTACTAAACCTTGAGCAAAATTCACCGAAAATGTGGTTTTTAAAAAAGACTTGTTACTAAAAATATTCAGTTGTTTCAAGGATTAAATAAGCAGTAAACTTTGTGTTTTTATACATACCCACACCCTGAAAAGACTAAACTCTGTCTGTGCCATAGTAGAGCAGTAAGCTGAGGTACAGTGAAGGGGAAAGAAACATTATACCTAACATTAGCACAGTGCTTTCCCCATGCCCATTCCAGAATGATTTGAAAATATTATTGAATACAGCAGAAGTTACTCCAAAACTTCTACAGCATTAAACATATGTATGAGTAGTACCCTCTTTGATTTGTAAAGATGAATTAATCTGCTATTTTTTGTGTTGTGAATTTTTTGGGGAAAAAACTAAACATTTTTCTGTGATTTTTCAAAAGCAAACTTGGAATGTCAACATCTGCATATTCCACTGAACTTAGAAAAGGCTTATATAATTCCCTTTCTCTGTTTACTCCATAAAACATGATTTTGTCCTGAAAAAAACTGCTTTTAACTTAGTGACATTTCTGAAACTACACAAGGCAAAATACAATTACAATTTATAATGTCCACAAAATGGTGAAAAGAGCCAAATCATGGCCCTGCACCTGAAGTGTGTTGGACACACATGAGGCTGGATCCCTATGCCCACACACAGCCCCACTGAAGTTGAATGGGGCCTCTTGGTGAACATGGCATTGTCAGATTGGAGTCTCACATCAGCTTCTGCTGTGCTGTTTGTAGCTTCACTCAAGTGAAAAGTCAGGTTAGCTATATGCACTTCTAAAGTGGCAAATAATCCGAAGGATCTGTTCCTGCTGACTCTAACTACTGAGTAATCAGAGTGAAGGCAATTGAAAGAAGCATTGAACCCATTAGAAAATATTTTACAGCTGAGGGGAGAAATCCTGCCTTCATTGAAATCAATGGCAAAACTTCCAGGGACTTTAGTGGGGCCAGGCATTTCCATCCCAGGCCTTTAGTTTTCCATAAAACACCCCAGAGCTGCTCCTTTCAGAGAGTGTTTAAGATGAAAAAAAAAGATATATTTCTCATTTTTTATTATACATACTACCATAGTATCTAGTTGCCTAGTTCTGGCTATTATATAACAGGCTGTAGAATCATTAGATTCCATGTTCATTGTACCACATTGGGATATATACCCTACTAAGCATGTGAAACTGGCACTGTGAGGTCTAGAAAAAAAGGCCAGCTACGCCTCCATGCACTGTTCACAAATTAGCAGAATATAGAGCATTGTCTTGTTTCTAATCTTCATTGTCAAGCCTGAAATTTTGAAAAGAGACTGATTTGGAGTAATTGGAATGCAAACATTTTTTTAAATAGAGTCCAAAATAGTGAAAAACACTTTTTTTTGTTATCTGAAAAGTGGCCAAATAGAGTTTTATGACATTTTCAAAAATAATTTGGTCTCTGGTCTCACAACAACCAGGAGAAATTCCAGCTCAAATTTTTTTTTCCTGAATGTTTGAAAACAGGTTGAGCAGTATTACACACAGAACAGTAATATCTGTGATTGTCAAAGGGAGCTGGCCCCACCACTCTTACTGATTTTTAATAGGATTTAAGTGTCTAATAGAGCTGGGTAAAAATTTTGATGACTTTTTTTTCCAGCAAAAATTGCAGATTGTGGCATCCAAAACAATTAGTGTCAACTTTTGCCAAATTGTTTTGGTTGGAATTTTTAAAAGAAATAATCAAAAAGAAAATTAAAATATTTTATTATATTTATTGGTCTGGCTGATCGTGCCACTCCCAAGGGGCTGGAGTGATTCCTTGCCCTGGGACCAGCCCTGGCTGCACTGCTGGCTCAGCCTGGCAGACAGTCGCCTCCCAGAAGGGCTAGTAAGTATGACCAGGAGGCAGGGTGTGGGGGAGTGGGTCACTGAGCAGTCTGGGGGGGCGGAGTGCTGGGCTGTGAGTGGGCAGGGAAGATGTGTGTGTTGGGGCACTAGGGAGTGGGGGTGCTGGGCGGCTGTAGTCAGGGGGGTGCTTGGCAGGCGTGGTGTTGTGCAGGGCGCTGAGCATTTGTGGGGGGGTCTAGAGGGGTGCTGGCCATAGGGTGTCGGGGGGTAGGGGTGTTGTAGAGGTGCTGACTTTCTGATTTCTGCAGGGGTGCTTGACTCCCGCTCTGCCCCAGGCCCTGCCCCCACTCCACCCCTTCCCTCAAGGCCCCACCCACATTCTGCCTCTTCCTGACCGTGCTCCTCCCCCTCCCCGTAGCACCTTCTGCCCACCACAGAACAGCTGATCAGCGGCAGGCGTGAGGTGCTGGGGGGCGAGGGGGAGGAGATGATCGGCGGGGCCGCTGGTAGGTGCTCAGCACCCTGGAGCACCCACGGAGTTGGCATCTATGGGGTGTTGGGGTGTGGGGGGGGCCTGTGTGGCGTGGTATTAGCCTGCCCCTGAGGGGAAGTGCAGGGCTGGGCGAGCCAGTGTGCATCTGGCAACTGACAGTTTCTAAATAGTGCCCTTGCACTGGGCTGGGTGGAGTGGGGCTGTCCCCGCCATGCTATGCCCCATTGCCTCTGGCCAGCCCCTTGGTCCAGAGAACGACCTCTCCGTGCCATGCTCCATTGCTCCCATCGGGGCCCACAAATATGTTTGGCGCTGGGCCCACAAAAGGTTAATCTGGCCCTGAAGGGAAGAGCAGGGAATTGAACCCCCATCTCCTGAGTGCTAGGCTAGTGCCAAAGCACACACATTTGCCTTTTGTGAGCTCTGACTTTTTATGTTGTGACATCATTTAGTTTTATTATTTGAATCAAAAAGGGGCCTGTGAAAAACAAAGTACTTTTAACCATCTAGCTCATATTTTTAAATGACCAGGTATTCAACAACGAATGCTGCTTATGATTTTCCAGTATATGGCAAAACTGGAACAAAATGATTTCACAAGTCTATAAAACACTGAGAAACTGGTAGATAGGTTATATTAGTATCAAAAGAGCTTGTTATTACTGTGTCTGTTTAACATCTGAGGCAATGTGTGGGTTGAGGTCACTTTACTTATACCAGGGTTTTGCCACTAGTTCTCTAATATTAGCCCAAAATCAGATACTTCCTAGTGCAGTATACATCTGCTGAGGAGCAAATACATCTCTTTAACAGCACCCTGTAATGGTGATATGTAATTTTTGTTACTCAGTAAATATACTTATGGAGAGATGGAACTGGTGATGTGAGATGACCTCCACTTCTCTGAAAGGAAGGTCTTGATTGTTACCCCTTTAATATACACAAAAGAGCACTCAAAAGGATGAAATCCAATATAAATAAATGACAACATTTTGGTAAGGTCAAATTTCAGATTTGGGTTTATTTTCTATACCCAGTTGCCAGAAATAAATGACTAGACCAAATTTAAAGATTTTAGCTCAGTGGAAACCTCGAAATGGATTATCAGTGAGTATGTTACCTGTTATGAGCATCTGTATTATATTACATTTTTGGGAGGATACATTATGTTCAAATTCTGCAACCTCCATTGTATATTTTAGTGCTGAAAACTTCTAAACCCGGGATACTGAATATCTGATAACCTAGAACTAGAATAGATTATGGTGAATTAAACCCACCCTGTGGCTAGAGATACTGTACTTTTATACTCAGCTTTTGGAAGGTGCTGAGTGCTGTTAACTCCCTGTTCTGCTCCCATTGACATCAGTGGAAGATTTTCTGTTGACTTCAATGGGAGGGGAACTGGACCCAAGATGTCCTTAACTCCCACTAAAGAAAATCCAGCCTGCTAAATGTAGAAACCTCACCCACCTACAGACATATGTAATGTACAGATCAGTGGAACTTTAATGGCATGACAATCCGTACAAGTGTTGCCAAAGTGTAAAAAAGACAAACCCCTCAAGTATGGGGAGGTTAATAAAGGCAGTCACAATAGGGCTACATGCTGATTGGGGTTTGATCTGTCTTCATTTGTCAGTAGTCACACATGTATTTCTCACGCACATATAAATCCTTACCTGCATATATCATATTAGACTACTAAAATGGAGAAAATTTTAAAAAAATCTAATGTACTGTACATTATTTAGGCTATGCTTACTCTGTGCATAAGCAGGGCACATGCTCTATGGTAAAGTTCCATTTGCTCTGTAGTCAATTTCACTTTCTGAGTTGTCTGACAACAATGCTACTAGATTTCAAAACTTTGCTGAAGTATGTATAGAAAACAAAAGTTTCCACTGGGATTTTAAATGTATATTAGGTTTATATTTTTTTGTTTTGTTTTTAAATCCCCCTTTTAAAAATATCCATCCCTGTATTTGGGTCCTAAAATATGTCGCAATATTTTTTAAGCCATCTGGGACACCATTTCTGTGTAAAGTGAATATTAAATGATTGAAAGCCCTCTGGATGTTGTACCTACTTATAGATAATTACAGTCTCCTCCCTCAGCATCTTAAGTTAACCTGTGTTATGTTTTCTAATAATAACAAAAAATGTCTTATTTACAACCTTCCTTTCTCCCAACTGGATATAGGGAGTTACAATGTTTGGACATCTGTGACTTGTCATGTTTCTGTTGACAAATGAATGAGCAAATACATGGCAATAGTCCAGAAACTTAATGGTTTAAATAAAGGGGGAGAAAAGGGCTTGTAGATACATAGTAGATCTACATGTGGACTAGTTTAAGAGGTAGGATGGATCAAGAAGTGGTAAAAGAGGATAAGGGCGGTCTTGAAGGGGGAAGAAGAATGTAAAAGTATTCAAAACATTTGCATTTGTTGTGCAGTCCCCGTGTTTCTTCATCCTGCTCACAAACCTCTACAGTGTGTGTTGTCCTGTAGACCTGTTTAAACTGAACCTTCATGCATATAACTTCAATCAGAGAACAGGTTGTAAAGTTAGTTGGAGGTT